CGCATCACCTGCTGGACTTGTTCTTGTGTGATGCCTCCGTGACTAGTTTCATTGTCTCTGATCTCAATTTAATATCAGTGTAGTCAAATGTCCACCAAACAAAGGTAGGAAACCAGTTTAGGTAATCCACCACTCCTACTGCTTCTGATTAAATGTTAAGTTCGGCATTGGTTTACACCTTCTCAAAGTGTGGTCCTGTACAACTCATTATCCTCTTTGTTGTAAATTGGAAATAGTACTGAGTATAATTTGGACCTTTGGGTTCTGTTCGGCTGGTCTATAAGCCGCTTGTGCTGATTTGTACGACTGATTTGTTGGGAGTGAAAAATAATATACCATATAATGGCAGCCAAACAGAGCCTTGAGTATGCATTTGTGTTCTAATTCAATCTCTGCTCTGACACTGTTATGCAATTGCTTCCCTGTGAAAAACTCACTGATTATTTTCCTCCTACTTCAGGGGCATTTTGGTCATTATACATGGGTTGAATGAGCACAGGTTAGGAAATTCTGTTATGTTCGTTCTCCTCCCCATCATTTTTTTTTCCAGGAATGTCCAACAACTTGCTGATGTATTTCTATGCACTTGATCCTGCGTTTCCAGTGGAAGGTACTTGCACTTTGCTGATCAGCTGACAGCATGTGGTTTTGGAGTATACGCAATGGATTGGATAGGTACAGAGCACTGTTTTTGGTTTTCTGAACTTGCATATGTTTTCTGAAATATGTATATATAGTTTGGTGAAAGAATTGCGCTGCATTTAGAAAGGAAGAATGGAATGTTGATCTTACCTAATTATTTCACCAAAAAGTGACATGCACCTCCTGTTTCCCTTAAAAAAAGGATTCGAACAACAATTTATATCAACTTTTAGTTTTTCATTTTATTCACGAAAGTGTATTTTATCTCGTGGATCATGTAATCTAACTAACAGTGTGTTAGTTATTCGGCATGAGCAATGTTATGTTATATCAATCTATTTACAGCCAAATATTAGCTTTTAACTGTGTTCAGTATACTTAATGTCTTTGGGTAAAGTCTTCATACTTGTAAACTATTCACACTTGCTAGTAACTTTAGGCCAGATTTTGCAATCTGTATTTCCATGTGAGCATGTCTATTTAGTTTTTTTTTTTTCAATACACAAGAGGCTAAACTCTTGTTTCTTATGCATGACGACAGGGCATGGTGGAAGTGATGGCCTGCACGGCTATGTGCCTTCACTAGATTACGTTATCGAAGACATTGTGAGTTTATACTTCTGACGACTAGTCCATCTTATTGTTCCCCATGTAATGCTTGATTAACATTATCATCTGGAAACAGGAGGTGCTTCTTGACAAAATTATGATGGAGAATCCAGGGGTCCCCTGTTTCCTCCTCGGTCACTCCACTGGAGGGGCTGTAGTCCTGAAGGTAGGCAATGTGAAGCTAGATAGTTTTTTCATCAGCCTATTTAGGCCAGATTTAGACACTGACCCTACTTCTCTGGGCCTGTGAACAACGGATACCCTGACGGGGCAGAGAAATGGTGCAAAACGTTAACAAAGTAGCCTGGTTGAAACTTGAAAAATGGTTTGGCTGCATGCATAAGCTCATTTTACATGCCTGATGCTATTATCTTGATTGTGCTCATCGCTGGCTTACAACTTGGCAGGCATCTCTGTACCCTCATATCAGAGAGAAACTGGAAGGCATCATTCTGACTTCACCCGCGCTGCGTGTGAAGCCTGCTCATCCTATTGTTGGGGTAACGCAACTACTCTTGTTTCCTGCTTACCATGAACTGGTGATGATTAAGTCTGTATTGATTTGGGCCGAAGAACCTAACTGAGGTCTTTCTTTCTCTGATCACGTCAATTCAAATGCAGGCTGTGGCGCCGATCTTCTCTCTGGTGGCGCCCAAGTTCCAATTCAAAGGCGCCAACAAGAGGGGCATCCCGGTTTCCCGCGACCCTGCCGCACTGCTGGCCAAGTACTCGGACCCGCTGGTGTACACGGGGCCGATCAGGGTGCGGACGGGGCACGAGATCCTGCGCATCTCCTCCTACCTGCTGCACAGCCTGAAGAAGGTGACCGTCCCGTTCATGGTGCTGCACGGCACCGCCGACCGGGTGACGGACCCGCTGGCGTCGCGGGAGCTCTACGGCGCGGCGGCGTCCAGGCACAAGGACCTGCGGCTGTACGACGGCTTCTTGCACGACCTGCTCTTCGAGCCCGAGCGCGACGAGGTCGGCGCCGAGATCATCGGCTGGATGGACGGGATGCTCCGGCTCCGGCGGCAGACCGGATGAATGGCCGGCCGCAAGGGGGCAAGAGCAAGGTGGGGGTTCGCAGCACGGTGGTTCCATGGACGCCGTGTTGTGTCTCGGTTCTTGGTGGTGTCTCTTCATAGTGGTATATCTATAGATTTGTGTACGGAGATGGATGCATTTGTGTTCTGTAACTACAGTACGTGTCTATCTATCTAATAACAGTGGGAAGAGGAGTATGGATTGTTTGTTTTGGTGTCGTTTCTTGTCAGTTTTTGTGGTCACATTGGATTTATCAATCATTTATGGGCAGATATGCATAAGCCTGTTCGCTTGGTCGTAAACGATCGTGGATTATAAGGCAGAACAGTATTTTTCTCTCACACCAAACCAGCCAGCAGTAATAATTCACGATTTGTTTCAGCCGAAACGACAGGCTGATGAACTTACAGGTAGTCGAGGGACTCTGACAGGAGACCATCCCACTAATTTGGGGTATTAAGTATAGATTAATTATAAAATTAATTGCACTGAGACTACTTTGTGATATGAATTTATTAAGTCTAATTAGTCCATGATTTGATAATATGGTGCTACGGTAAACATGTGCTAATGATGGATTAATTAGGCTTATAGATTCGTCTCGCGGATTAGCCACGACTTCTACAATTAATTTTAGAATTAGCTCATGTCTAATCCTTCTAATTAACTTCCGAACATCCGATGTGACACGGGCTAAACTTTAGTCCCTGAATTCGAACACCGTTCCAAATTGATTGGAACAGCCAACGCTGCACGATCCAGACTTCCAGAGGTACAAGTACAACGACACATCCTCCATTCCCCAACAGCCGAGCAAGTCATTTCGCTTCGCAGTACCATCTTGTTAGCAGCAGGCGAGGAAGGGAATAGAGGAATCGGAGTTTGGGGAAGGAAGCAGAGCAGAGGACAACGAACAGACGAATCTCGATTCAGTTGGGAAGATAGTTCATTACAGTGTGCACGCCTCTCACGCTCGCTCGCTTGCTCACGCGTGCTGCCACTCTGGGTCGAATAAGCGCATGCTCTTGGTCTTGGGCCTGGGCTCCCGGCCCATTCTTCCATCTACTTCAGCTGTGCCTCAGACTCCTCCTTCAGCCGTGGTTGCCTGATGGTGAATAGGTACGATGCTGACACACCTTGAGGCTCATCGAGTCTATTTCAACACCTGTCAAACTACGGTACGAAGTTTGATTCTAAACGTATTTGTATCATAACAAGCTACATATTTCATTGCAACATAGGAGACGAATACATTTGCTAGTGAAAACCTACTGGCCATATACTCTTCCCAAAAATAATATCATTTTTGCTTTTCCATGGGTCAATAAACTTACTGTCCCTGTCATAGAAAGAACACAATTCTCACACATCAAGAAAAAATAGTACATAACAAAAAAAAAGCATATATACTTACTCGTTTTATTATCCAACAAATGCTACACTTATAAACTCTGCTTTATAACATTTGACATCTATATAACACGTCTTTTTAGAATACCAACCACGCCTACTCATAAACTAGAGCTGGATTCGTTTTAGAACACTATTGAGTGCTAGAATTGCATTCCTTTTTTTAGCACGAATGGAGTATACAACACGGTACTAATTCTTAGAAATTTTGATTTACTCCGGATCTAAAGTGTCATTCTCTTTTCGGACGGAGGCAGTACTAGCAAATCGATTTACTGTCAAACGGTGACACAGTGACACACTCACGCACGCAGGACTACTCCAAAGATCTCATCGACGACACGTTTCGAGGCCGCAGCATCTGAGACGACGCCTGCGTGAGACGTGCCGACAAGCTTGATAGACCTGTAGTACTCCTGCCTCGGGTCACCGGCGATCACCATGTCGAGCGCCAGTATGCTCGCCACGGGTAACAAGCCGTCGCCGTCGCCGTACACCACCTGCGACGTCTCGCTGAAGTTGCCGTCCCAGTACACCAGCTGCTCCATCGTGGCCACACCGACGCCGTTGATGCAGGTCGTCGGCACCACCGGCGTTGGGGGGCGGCGACGTTGCGCAGCGCTAGAGGACGGAAGGGAGGAAGAGCAGCAGCCGGTGGAGGTGTGTAGCCATGGCGATGGACAGCGGCGCGCGGCGCGGCTGCCTTGCCTGCTACCGCTAGCGCCTAGCAAAAAACACAGATGCCAAAAGTGGTTTGGTTTGGTTTGGTTGAAAGATACGACTATACTGCATTTGGAGGACTATTTGCGTGGACAGGATTAGTGGCGTGTATGATTCGGTTAATCTGTCATTTATCAACGATAGTTGTTGCCACTGTGTACTACCACTTCTGCTTCACTTTCAGTCTTTCAGAGCGAGCAGTGACAAAGCTAGAGGAAGTTGAAGGATGGTGCACTTGTACCGTAGTACCGTAGAACCATAGACTGTGTCATAGACGATGCATGTATGGTGAAATTCTAATCAAAATAACTAATTTTCCTGAACACCACCCCCCACAAGACGGCGAATGAAGTACGTAGGGATATCCATCGATAGCTAAATATTAGGAGTAATTTATGTCATGTCATTAGGGCATAAGATTAACAGATTTCACAACAGCCACTCAGAACACACACATTGAGTGGTCCAACTAATTCCAGCTAGGCAAACTAGCAGAGTAACTGATACGACTACAACAAAGGGCAGCAGGTTAAGCTAGATAGTTAGGAGAGAGCACCTGCACCTGGCTGTCTCCATTAGTGGATATACGGGACCTGGTACTGAACTGGGTAGCCATTACCGTAATAAGGTCCGTGGGCAGGTTGCAGGGTGTAAGACGCTGAGCTCACCATTGGAGGAAGATGAGCCTCAGCACCATACACAAACTGCCTCTCGTAAGGATTGGAGGGATGCCTCTCTGGGGTTGCTGGGTAGAAGCTCTTGTCAGCAAAGCCTGTAGCACGGTGTGCAAAGGCCGATCCATTGGCACGAGGCCGCTTGGACTGTGGCTTTGCTGCTTCAACAGCCCTCCTCTTGTCTGCCTTTGCTTTCTCTAGCTGCAAAACCCTTTTCTGAAGTGGATCCACAGGGTACTGCTCCTCAAGTTTGTGCTCTTCAATGCATTTAATGACAGATTTCAGTGCAGACAACTCACGTTCATTCATCTCATTCTGAAAACACAAGTGGCCATTAGTTAACATTAAATACTATGTATTATATGTCAAACATTTAAACAAAGGCATATGCTCACAACCACACATAAAAGAGAATAAAAAAGTAACACGAACTGCCACAGCTAATCGCGGTACTCCCTCCGTCCCAACATAAGTGCACATTTTGCTTATCTCGCTTATCGAGGAGTCAAACTCTTCTAAAGTTTGACTAAGTATAGAAAATATTTGTATCTCCAAATAAGTTTATAATAAAAGAACATTCCACAATCAATTTAATGATACTTATTACACATCATAGATATTAATACTTTTTATATATATTTAGTCAAAGTTAGAAAATTTTGACTCCTCGATAGATGTGCGCTTATTTTGGGACAGAGTACCAGATAAAAACTGCAAGAGCAGCTAGCAATTACTAATCTATTGAAAGCAAGCTAAGCTAGCACTCAGCAATCTCGTATATTACTTCTCCACAACCTAACTGAAGCTCTGTGACAGCAAGGTTCAAATACCAAATCACTTCAGAATTAATTTCTCCTCTATCAACAGTTGACACAATTCATCGCCCTTTGGGAACGTCTTCAGCATGTACACCTCAATGTGAGCACAGCTGATCATATCTAGAGGACGCTCAACACCAATGGTGAATATTCGACAAAATCAGCTTACATGGTGCAATTTCATGGATCGATACACTGAGCTAGAGATGAATCAGTGGTACGCTTGCTTGCACATTGCCAATACAGGCAACAAGTTTGGTCTGCATTGAGGACTTGGACCAATGGACAGTTCCCTCACCCATCGGGCTGGGCTTGTTAAAGTCATTCAGTTGTTGGCAATCCTGGTGGCATGGGAGAACTGGAAGGAACGCAATGCTAGGATTTTTCAGCAACATCATTCCACTCAGGAAAGCTTGATTGCGAAAAACAAGGAGGAAGCAAGGACCTTGTGCCTTCCAGGAGGCAATAGGCTCAAGGAGGTTATCTGGAGCAGTCCTGTAGTGGAGGTCTATGACTTTACGCACCCCTCCTCCTTTTGAACTTCTATTCCATGTTTAAACTAACTCTTCTTTATTAATATATGCTGGCCATAACTCCTGCTGATCGTTTCAACAAAAAAAAATGCAGCAGAGACTTCTTACGGCTAACCAAAACATAAAAAGTACTAGTATTCAGGAGTGATATCAAGTTGTGGTCGCAACATCAGAGCCCTCCACTGAGGGTGTAATGACTGGTCGGCGGTCGCTTTGGCATAATAAGACTATAAAAGGTATGTAAGATGAGAAACAAACTGAGATAACCTTAACATGCTTTCATCATTGTATGCCGGTGTTTCAAGATTTGAATGATTCCAAAATTGTGTGGAGCTAGTTTCAACTTACAACATATAAAGGAGGAAATAAACACATCATTCCCTTTAAAAAAATATTGGAAAACATTCCCGAAAGGAAGCAACTATTCTAGCCTGTTTCTTGATAAAATAATTAACCACAGCATGAGAAAGTACTCAAAAAGAAGGCTGAGCAGGGGAAAATTATAGTATGCTAGTCCATTATGCCAATAAGCAAAATACCTTATTAGACTCCTCAGATAGGAAGGAGCCTTCCTAACAAAATTCACAGGTTTTGAAGCTGATGGTTTGGTTATGTACAGGGGCAGTTTTTAAAATTCTACTACAGAAAAAACATTACAAAATTTAAAACTACAATGACTAAAATGTACCTGTGCCCCAGGAGAAACTTTGACATTCCTGGCATGTGACACTTTCTTAACATCCCTCAGATATGCTTTAAGCAGTTGCACTGGTTCAAACTGTTCAGTAAGCTCGAACACGTAAGCCAAATTAATTGCATCAATAGGTCTTCCACTTTCCACCAGAACTTCAATGACACCTGGATTTCAAGAAACTGCATTAGTAAACCACTTATGTTGAAAGAGAAAACCTTGTAATATATGAAAACTAAAAATAAAATATAGAAAGGTAAAATTACAGAGGAAAATGGAAAAATAAAAAAGCAGCAGAGCAGGGAAAAAGCTAACATGAAAAAACAATGGTGAATACATTGTTAGGCTTGTAACTGAGAAAGATACAAGACGACAACATACTCTGCAATCAAACTTTTCTTGTCATACTAGAAAGGAATATTTCACATTTGTAGAGAACTATGATGCACCCACACTTCACTTTGTCAGCATATCAGTGTCCAATGCTGCATTGGACACAGATACGCTGCCAACACATATCTACAGACTTTCGAATAATTAAAGCCCAAAAATAAGAAATTTTATTAACAGACACTTCAGCAACATGGCCAGCTTGACAAGCAACCCCTACTCCCTGGACAACCCTGATCCCCACACCTCATTACACTCGCCCCCACACTCAACTGCACCTGCAGGTAGACGCCACGGCATCTCTGGTCTCTAGCTCGATTCAAGAACTCCCCTCCTCGTATCGACACAAGACTGCTGCTCCTCCACAATTTGGCTTGGCCCCTTGATTCCTTGCAGATTACCATTTATAGGATTGGTGAGGTCCTTTTCATCCTCCCAAATGCCAATGTGTTTCTATCCCCCATTCTTCTCATTTGTTTTCTAGATCTTGAGTGCTTAATTATTTCTTTTCTTATTTGTTCGTTTTTTCTTGCTAAGATAATCCAATATACAAAGTGATCGAATAGAGGGGCAGAATAATGGAAGGCTCAGCTCAGGGCTATTTTGTGGTGCCATGTTGAGGTTCAAGATAGGGTGATGAGGCAGGAGGAAATGTGAAGCAGTGTTATCAGATCGGACTAATCAAGATTAGTCATCCTTATCATAACATAGGGCACAATAAGGGTCTTCGATACGATTACCTCGACTAGAAAACTAGTGGTCCGACTAATTAGTCATCCGATCAAGCCATCTGGACGACTAGTTAGGCCAGCCCAAGAAATTTGTATGGTGGAAAGAAGTTGGCCCACCCTTAGCTGGCCCATTAATATATATATATATATATATATATATATATATATATATATATATATATATATATATGGGGAGGAGCAGCTGGCGCTGTTTTTCTTTACATTGTATGGGTTCTTTCTTTATCTTTACAATTTTACAGAACACAAAGTAGAAGGTTCCTTCTTTGATTAGTATGATACATACTGATTAGTAGTGCCTCTTAGCTGTACTAGTATGTGCTGAGCTCAACAATCAGGAACAAACATTATGTGCTGCACTAGTATCTAAACTATAGGTTACACAATGCCTTCATGGCGCCTAGAATGTGCGTAAGGCGTCGCCTAGGTGTTGTGAGGGGGGTAGGACACAGTGCCTCACCACAGCGCCTCAAAAACCATGTACTCCCTCCATCCAAAATTATAAGTCATTCCAAGAATCTTGGAGAGTCAAAGCATCTCAAGTTTGACCAAATTTATATGATAAGATAATAACATTTATGATGCCAACTAAGTATCATTTGATTCTTCATCAATTATATTTTCATAGTATACCTATTTGATGTCAAAAATCTTTATAGTTCTCTCTACAATTTTGGTCAAACTTGAGATGCTTTGACTCTCCAAGATTCTTGAAATGGCTTATAATTTCGAATGGAGGGAGTATTTAGTTATTTACTGTGACATCCGGCCCAGTTTGGAATTTGGCCCATAGTGGCCCATGTGCATGTTAATGAGATATTAATGAGATATTGTGGAGAGTTTAGTCCCACCTTGGTTGTTAAAGGTGGGATAGACCAACATATAAGGCTTCTAGAGTCCATCCCACCATCCCCGCGTTAATCCTTTTTTTACAAGCGAGACTTAAAGCGTAATGGGGTGGTGGTGGGTGTGGTTCACTCGATGTGTAATGAGTGGATCTGAGCCGTTTGGACTCTAGGGCGTTACATTTACAGGCTTGTCTTCCAACGTTGCAGGAAATCCACACTACGGTACTAAACTATCAGGATTCATATACCTTTGCCCCCAGCATTAGTATTTCTGGATACATCCCTCCTGGATATAACAGGTTGAGGACTACCTTTCTTCAAAGGCAAAGGGCTCACATCAAAATCTTACTGGATAGGACTAGGAGCACATGTTCTAAAAAGGGTATGGCCATTTGTTCAGATGGATGGACAGTTGCACAGATCGGCCACCCATCAACTTTCTTGAAACTTCTGAGGGTGTAACTATGTTTTTGCAAGCTCTCAATTGTGAAGATGTAAGTCAAAGGACTACAAAGCTGAGAAGTTGATCACTGTTATTCAAGTAGGTCCAAGAAATGAGGTCCAAGCCATCACCGACAATGCTGCCAATTCATAAATGTCACTGAAGTATCTAAACTCCTTGTGTTGTGCATACACTTAATCTTGCTCTGAAGAGTATTTGTGCTGCTAAAATGACATGGGCTAATGAAGAACAAATTATCTTTGAAGAGTGTTGTCATGGACGTTGGGGTCGTGGATAACTGGACCATGGCTACATAGGTCGTAGCCTTGATCACTAGGATTGGGGCGAGGTTTTACCCCTCAGCGCCCGATTGTTGAAGGGGGTGAGATTAAGAAGAACAAGGTAGATTACGAATAGGCATATTGTCATTGCTTGCTTGATCATCCTTATTACAGGGAAATAAATAGGCTCTTGGCCTCTAAACTTAGGAGACGCGGTTACCCCTATTTTTAGGCTTGGATCAGCATGCAGCAGCACCTCAGCCTCGCCCTTCAATCAGACGGGGTCCTTGGATTGGCCATGATTGCTTGGTCTTCAGGTGCCCATGCATGCAGCCCTCCGGGCACCCATAACACTGTGGGCCCACATGACAAGTGTTAATACATGGCATGATGCTAGCAATGTTTACTGAGTCTACCACGCTGAAGTGACTTTCTATTTGCTACATTGGATAGGCGTGAACTGTAATGTACTTTTCTGGGTGGGTGGGTGGGTGGTGGGGGGGGGAGCTCTTGCCCCTCTTCCTTCCTAATACTCAATATAATTATACGCAGCTCTCCTGTGTGTTCAAGGGGGGGGGGGACAGTTACATGCTATTGCTAATACAAGATTTGCCTCAGCTGTGTTAGAGCATCTCCATGAGTACCCAATTTTTTTCCCAAAACCATTGAGTTTCCCAAGTCGCCAAAAAGTATAGGGAGCACCAAAGAAACGTTTCTCCAACAGTTTCCAATTTTACATCAGGAATCCCGAACTATTTCTAAATCACCCCAACCCCAACCCCAACCACTTTTATACTTTCTTTCTCTCTTATACATTTGTATCAGAACCCTGTCCTACTTATTCTTTCCCACATCCTTCCACCTTAGATTGGTGTGACGGATACGCGCGCGTATTTATCCGCGCACGGGTCGATTTTTCCAAGTGCCAAAAGATTGGGAGGTGGGATTGGGAGTTGTTGGAGATGTATTTTTTTCAATCTTGCCAAAAATCATGGATTGGGAGATTGTTTTGGGAACTCTTGGAGATGCTCTTATGCTGAAGTGGTTTTGTATGGTCACCAGGCTCTTTGACAAATGGTGATTAGTGATATGTGGGAGAGCTGCAATGATGATCAAGATGGGCCGACTCAATTTATGAGTATTTAGTATGGACTTGTGGCACAATGTGAATTACATTGTTAAATTCACTGTGCCAATCTATGAAATGCTACAAGCAGCAGACACTGACACACTGTGGCACCGTGCCATCACTGATTTGATTTGTAAGATGTAGGATACAATGATTGAGAATGTGAAAAAGCTATCTACAATCATGAAGGGAAGGCAGTGAAGGGTCCCATTTTTACAATGTTGTTACAGCATATCGGTTGATCGATGGGCTAAAGGTAACACTCCACTCCACTGCTTGGCACATAGTTTATGCTTCATCTCATAACGAAAACACCTTACCTCCAACCAGTTCACATGTCCCCTCGTATGGGCTCTGTCGTGGGCTCATGGCCACACCAGGAATTGGAGGCTGGCGACTGCCTCCCGCTCCCTACACGGCTACGCCAATGAAAAGGTGTCGCGTGTTTCCAGCACGGTTTGGCACACGCTCCATCATAGTTATTTGAATCTGTTACTGGTGTCAAAATTTTATAATTTGATACTTTCTCTTGATGAACCAGAGAGATGGAGACGGTATCTTTTGAAGAGGCAGAGAACACTCTTGGAAGACAGCTGAAAATATCTAGGTTATGCTCTCCCACTGTCCAAATGTCTTCTATTTAAATTAAAACCTGGGTTCGTAATGTAACTTAAGTTGAACTCCCATTCCTTACTGTTTGGCTGTTTGCTATTTGCTTGTTAATGGTTGTTTGAAGTTAAATTGCCTATTTAAACCCTAAGCTATCTCTGTTTGAACTTCATTGATGTGTAAATGCGTTAATGGTTACTACCCTGTATTGTTAGTTTGTTAAAAAACAAATGTGCTGACTGCTCATCATGCTATTTCTTTGTCTAGGTGAATGGAGAAACTGCATGGAGGTGAGGATTACAGGTACATTTACTTAGCTTTGCACTTTACAATATGCGCACACATATTACTAATTATAAAATGCATTGCCTTGTGTCAGCAATTTTGGGAAAAATAGTGAATCGCCTTGTAATCAGTGCATCATGGATAAAGAACATCTTCAAAAGCAACTGTGCACCAATATGTGAAACGATAAACTACAAATATTTAATTTTTGTGTATGAAATCACAAATCTATAAAAGAATAGAAAGGACAAAAGATAAGTTGGCGGGAAAATCAGTGGAAGATGGTTTGAATAAAGCATGGCTTCATTTATTTAAATACATATGATAGAGAAAGAACTGCCATTTAAGAACTTGAGATTCTTCGGTGTGGAATTCAGCAAAACAAAAGCTGTATAGCATAATGAAGTGACCTCAAACAAAACAAGCAAAACAATGGAACACCTTAAGCTCAACTAAAATTCTGAGTATAAATTATAAAGAGATCTGCTCTCAAAGAACAAGTAATCACAATTGTTTAAAATGTTGTGGTCCTATGACCAGATAAGACAATATCTTGGCACATTTTACAAACAATAGGCACTTTATTGCAAGAAAACGAATAGCTAGTTTGGAAGCATGCAGCTTATGTGAAGTTTTTGACAGCAAAAGTAATATTGGAATTTTAATCTGTTTTTTTTTTTTGTATCCTTGACCAGTATTCACAACATCCACTAACCAGAAAACAAGAAAGTCAAAACTACACAGAAATTAACACCCAAAGTAACATAAGTGTGAAACAATGTCCTATGAATATTTGTCAAGCATTTCAATACACTGAAAGAATACAGAACTTTCACAGATGTTCAATGTTGTTTGAGACAGATAAATCATTAGTCCACCAGAGCACTCACCTGGCATTTTCTGCGACAACCCAAGCAATCGACAAAGTTCAGGTGTCTGACGACGACGACTGACATATGGAAGCAATTTGCACAGGTCACCTTCATTATATTCAGCAGAAATACCAAAGGTTGCCAGGAGTTGAAGAAATGCATGAGCTTCAAGACAGTTCCCATTACTAGCATCAATGTCAAGATTATCTAACTTGGACTTCCACTCAAATGCAATATTTTTTGCTCGCTCTACGATATTAGTTGTAAGCATGTGCCCCTCCGAAGAGAAACAAGTTATTATATCATTAGTTTGCAGCTGTCCAAGTGACTCCATCAACATAAGGCACGTCCTTCTAACACCCAGAAGGTCTCCATCCTTTTTTCCATCTAATACAAGATTATCTCCAGAATAAAAGTCTTCCAGGGAATCCAACACCAGGCCATAAGGATTAGATGTTTTCTTCAGTGCACTGGGAATTTCCTCACGGATGGCTGCCAAGTTCTTCCTGTTGTCGGATATGAACTTATGAAGCCCCTTCACATTCATTTCCTCACAGAGTGAGGCAAGCTCAGAACGAGGCCTCACTGCAGCATTACCATCTTGCAAGTGCACACTCTCTTCAGAAGCCGGTTTAGGCCACTTAACACCAAGATTATCCAGTGCCTTGTTCATTGGATTGATGGCAGGAACAGGCAAGGAAAGCCTGGACTTGCTAAAGATCATAGCTAATGCAGCATCCCTCTTCTCCTGCAACCTCTCCAAAGAGGTCAGTTCCTTGGCCACAACAGCTGCCTCCTGCTGCTCCAGCATCAGATCTGATTTTGCGACAGTCTCCTGGAACTCCTCCTCCTGCTCTTTTAGCTCGTCAAACTTTTTCTTGAGGGACTGTTCAAGGCCACGAAAGTGGTCTTCAAGCTGCTTCCACTTGAGGTTCATGGAGACAGCGCTCTGGCTCTGAAGCTCAGCAAATGCCTCCTGAAGCTGCTGTATCTTGGAGCTTGTCGATTCCATAAGGGCCGCGACGGACTCCATGTCAGGTATGGCAAATGCTCCTGCAACAAAGAAGACAGCACATCCGAAAGAGGGTATAAATCCAAACAGTAGAAACACCCAAAACCTTACAAATCATATCAATTTCTTGATTAGGGTTCTAAAAAGCGGCGCGACCGCCTTGGTGGAGCAGCGGCTGCTGGCTCCCGCCTTGGCAAGGGCGCGAGGCGACTGGTGAGAAGAGGGGGCCTGCGTGCCGAGCGCGGGTGGGTGGAGGGAGATGGAGCGCCGGCGCTGCGAGGAAGATCGGCCCCGTTGGGTTCACAGCAACCAGCTCCACCGACGTATCTCCGCAAAACGCGCTGAGAGAGAGCTGCGAGAGATGGAGGAGCTGAAAAAAGTAGATCTCACCGGCTCCTTCTCCCTTCTCACGCGGGATGGACGCCGCTGCCCCTAGATCCACGCGCTGCGGCTCCTCCTCACGCACGTAGCCGGTGACGGAGAAGAAGCCCGGCGGCCAGGAACGACGGAGGGAGGAGGGGCGGCGATGAGAGGCGAGACGGCGCGGGAGGCAGGGCGGGAGAGGCGGAGCGGAGGAGGCGGATGCGCGCCGTCGCTCGGCGGCGCGACGGGAGGTGTGGGGCGGTGGTGGTGGTGGTCCGAGCGGGAGCCGTGGGACGGCGGAGAAGAAAGTTCGCGGTGCTCGTGCGCGAGCCGCGGGATCCCGGTGTCCTCTCCCGAGAGAGGTGGGTGGTGGGGAAAGAACAAAATAAGGCTGTGTTTGTGTTTAGTTGCAGGAATTTGGATTTTGGGCTACTGTAGCACATTCGTTTTTATTTATCAAATAGTGTTTAAACATGGACTAATTAGGCTTAAAACGTTCGTCTCGCAATTTCTCACCAAACTGTGCAATTAGTTTTTTTTTCGTCTACATTTAATGCTCTATGCACGGACCGCAAACATTTGATGTGACAGATACTGTAGCAACTTTTTAGAAGTTATGATAAAACTAAACCAGGACTAAATTTATAATAAGAAAAAAACAGAAAAAAAAAACAAAACAAAAGTATTATAAACATTTCAGCCTTCTCATCTTTAAAGAAAAGTTGTTTTACCAAACGTTTTACTAAAACAACAACGACTCCTTAAGATGATAGAGCTATTTTTTTTAAGCCGAAGCCTGCCATACAGGCCCGAAGAAACAGCAGCGGGCTGTAGGCCTTCGCTGGAGTAGTGAAAAGGTAATGTGGCATTTAGGGCCTGTTTGGCAGGGCTCCGGCTCCTCAAAAACAGCTCCGGCTTTGGCTTCTCTGAAGGAGCAGCTCTTCTAGAGGAGCAGGAGTCGTTCTAAAAAAACGTTTGGCAAAACGGCTCCTCCTGTATTTCTAGAACGGATGAAAGACGCTGAATGTCCATAGTGCCCCTACTTTATTTAACTTGGTTGTACATGTGATTTATGCTTGATGTCACTTTGTGATAGGATTGTCCCAAATTAACAAGATTAAATATGAAAAATAAGATTAACTGATAATAATGTTTTTGGGAGTACAGTAACGTTTACAAAAGTAGGCATGATATTGGTTATAATTAAGTTAAACATATTTAATATATTTTTAATAAAAATGAGGGAGACACCATTTTGGGCCAAGGCCCATACCATACGACCTGCATCAGCTCTGTCCTCCGGTCCTTCCTTCCATGACCGCTCGCATCGGATGCTTGCGCCGCCATTCTTCCACGCCGTGCTCGCCCTTTCCCACGCCGCCGTCGCCCTCACCTGGCGCCTGCGTCGCCGCTCTCCCACGTGTCATGCTTGCCCTCTCTCACTCATCGTCCGCTCGCGCCGCCGCTCGCCGCTACAGCACCGCCGCCTCCTCCTGCGTAGCCGAGCACAGAGCATGCAAAGAAGGGCGCGAACGTCTTTTCATCCGACACCATTAGGCGGAGCCGCGCGGAGCTACGTTTCCAGGCTCCTCCTCGCACTACACAAAACAGCTCCGGCTCCCAAAGTGCTCCGGCGGAGGAGCCATTTTGGACAGAGGTGTTTGGTACAGCTCCTGGAGGAGCCGGAGCTGGAGCCCCTCCAGGAGCCGTGCCAAACAGGCTCAGATTGTGGGAAAGGGACAATAGAAATGAGAAATAAGGGAAGGTGAATAGCATAGCCCTTGTTATGAGACAAGAAATCCTAGCCGGCTTCCTTTTTCGCTGTGGGCGCACTGGGACGGATGGGGAGCGGAGGCTAGGGAGTGTTTGTCATGGTTAGGAGTACAGCAAAGTTCCAGAAAATCCGAAATGCCGACTTGCTCGGAATGGATGATGGGACATTTCCAGCCCGAATGGATGATGGGACATTTCCAGCCCCAGTTTTTATCTATCTATCTATCTCACTAAGGCTCCGTTCACTCGTCTTAAAAAGCGGCTTGTTCGGCTTCTTTTTTCAGCTAGAACAGTGTTTTTCTCTCACAACAATTCAGCCGGAACAGTGTTTTTCAACCAATTTCAGCCAAGTTTCAGACCAGCGAACGGGGCCTAATTTTCCATATTTTTCTTTGCTAAATCCACACCAAGAATGTCCCGAACTTAGAGGCCCCTATCCATCGACCCACAAAACTATACCTAGAAAAAAATCTATCCTACTAATTCACCATCTTTTTCTTTGCTAAAAATTCACACAAAAAAACGTCCCCCGTTGAGAGGCCATCTATCCATCCACCCACAAAATTGTACCTACAAATAACATCTTTTAAAACGGACTATCCAGATTTATTCTTAACCTTCCCCCTCATTACTCACTCAAATCCAACGGCTAAGATCGCGTGTGTCAACCTCTTCCCCCTACCATCCACCCTACTAATTCACCATTTTTTCTTTGCTAAATCCACACAAAAACAAACGTTCCTCGCTGAGAAGCCTCATCCATCCACCGACAAAATTATGCCAAAAAAAATAACATCTATAAAACGGACTGTCCATATTTATTCTAAACCTCCTCTCTCATTACTCACTCAAATTCAACGGCCAAGATCACGTGTCCCAACCTCCTCCACCCCTACCATCACCCACGCCCGCGCCCTGCCAAGGTCTACTGACGCATCAATCAATTCCACGTTAGGCTAGGTGTCCCTTTCATTGATCTCGTGTTTCCTCCGTGGATCGGTTGTGCTATGTTTCGATCGTCAACTCTGCTCGTATTGCCTGTTTCTATCTCATAAATCAGATCAGATAAATTGAATCAAGCATTTTAGCGTGGTACTATCGGGAAAAGAAAAATGCAGCGAACGTCGATTTTGGTTTTGGAAGCGTTAGAATTTGTCATGTAAATTATAAATCTGCATTCATCCTGCATTTCTGCCTCTAATAGGCATAGCGGGATGCACGCGATTGCTGGGGATGCAGTTTCACCCCGAAGGACACTAGAGTTTCGCCCCTGTTTCAGAGTCCAATACAAGGGGAGCGGGAATGCAAGTTCTAATAATAATACTGGATAATTAGATCAACCCAAAAACATACTCCCCAATCTAAATTATAAAACGTTTTAACATTATTTTCTAGCGAATTTTCTAACCATCTGTGGTCTGTTTTTGTTGTTCCTCATCGGTCGAATCTTTTTTGGGCTGGCTTGTCTTCGTGGGCTACCTCGTCCAGCACGGTTTTTATATATATGGCAAGACGAAGATATGTATCGGGTCTCCACGCTCGGAGCTTCGATATTCAAATTTTTTTGAACTCTGCGCCTCTACTGTTTCATCGTGATTCTTTTCCTCTCCGAACCTTTCCTCTCTCTCGAAATATCCAGCGCACTCTGGAACGAAATCCTCTGCAGTCGCTCCCACCGACGACGCTATGCAGTCACCAGATCCTAGCCGCTAGTTGCGGATCCAACGGCAGCCTCACCAAAGTTGTGTAGCAGGCCAGTTTGAGCGGCCCATTCCAGCCCACAGCGTCCATAAACAGCAACGACCATCTCTTTTCCCTTGTGCCGTCATCCCCGTTGTCGCAGATGTGCTCCGCATCCGTCCTCGCTGCCCGCACCATCCACCTCCCCCCTCGTCACGGCACAGAGGCGTGGCCCTCCCGGTGGCTACAGCTCGTAGCCGGCACATCAGGTGCGCTCCCGTCTAGGCCGTCACACACGCGGCTATTGCTCGTCGTCTACCGCAAGCGTGCTCAGGCCGTGCTCGCTGGTGAGATGTCGACGCTCCCCTCCGTCGCAGACAAGGTGGAGCCCCTTTGGCGCACGAGCTCCGGCTATGGAGATCGACTTGAGAGGTACGGCCACCTCTAGCTGTCTGTTTAACGGCACCCATCTTAGAGTATTAGCACTTTGTGTTTGTAATCCACAACTGTGTAAGCATTGTGTTCTGTATTGGAAGCATACAGGAAAAAATAGCAATTTTGTGCAGACTGCAATTGTGGAATAAATTGTGCTCCTTTTTGCAAGTTCAAAGACATGTTCAGAAGTAAGAATATATTACTGATTTTTGCAAGTTCAGAGGCTTGACAAAATATAGTACTATTTTCTGGCATATGTTATAATTAAACAGGCTGAACTTTACACTTCAAGCAAAATACCAAAAGCTATTCCAGAACTAGCTCTATTACTAGAATTCAACATTAAGATCATCGATTCTTTGCTCCTGCAAAATAAAAGAATAATAATTAAACTCTATCCAGATCCTCACTAAAAAGATGGAAGATCATAGTTTTTAAATCTTCTTTGTCAATAATCGAGAGTAGCTATGAATGGCCATGTAAGGTTGAGACATTCCTTCCTTGTGACAAGAAGTACTAGGCCAAACATTTTCTCTTTGCTACATCATCAAGCGGACGTCACTTTAACAGTTTGTTGTCCCTTCTACAATAGAAGAGAATCGAGATAATGTTTTTCATTGATACTAATATATTCTATGGTAGTACATACCATTGAACATTTCTCCTTTTTCTTGTTCCTTCTTTGTAAACTTGCGCTTTTATCAAGCCAAGTTCTTTTGCGTTCAAGTTTTTGTTTGCACCACTTTTTTCTTTAAGCTTTGTACTCACCAAATCACTCACGGGAGTAACATTTGTGGGAACAGTGACTCGATCCACTGATTGGGGAGTGTGACCATTGATTTCTTCTTCAATTTTCTTGCTAAGGATATCAAGTGTGTCATGTACTATCAAGGAGCACCCTAGATGGCTGCCAGCTCATTGTGCCAAGCCGAGAAATTTGCGAGTCATAGATTTGTACCGAAGTGTCTCATCTAACCTTGGATTCTCTATTATATTTCGACCTTGGTTGTCTTGTATTGCTCCACTACGTGCTTCTTTTGTCCATCGCTTCAATACATATTGAGTAGGGAGAGATTTGATATTCATCAAATCAATGACTTTTATAGCATGGCCACACAATATTCCAATTCATTGAATTGCCCTGGCTGCATGTACTAGTTTGTTGTAACTTAGATTAAGTGAGCCACCAACTTGGAGACTAGCCAATTCATGTGCAGCTTTAGGACACTTGATTCTAAAGATATTTGATCTTAATTCATCAAATTCTAAAGGTATTTCGATAGTCTCCCTTGAATCATGCAAAAAATCTGATCATCAGATCCCTGATCTTTGTGGTGTGCTCTAAGTTAATTTTGATCTGTTTGCTCTAACCACAGCCATAGCTATTGGCCTAGGTGATGGTGTGTTTTGCCTGCTGCTGTTTCTACATTACTGTATGTGGGTGTTGTCGGTTGACTACGAGCAATGGCACTTTCGAGATTTTAGCGAGATAGTTGAGTCAATATTCAAAGTTTCAGCTTTCTTTTCTCGATCTTTGAAAATGTCTGTTTTGCTTTCGTGTCAAAACGAGGATGCGTTAATTTATCAAATTTGTTCTTTATATTTATATGGTTTGGTTGTCGAGGTTGTCACATTCATCGTGCTCGGAACACATTTCATATCGCAGATTACAAAGGGATTACACAAGTCTAGTACTAAGAGTCGCATTGATACGGTGGGGTTTACCTTCGCCATTCCGATATACTTTCTTGGCTTTCAAGAGCATTTGATCTATTACTTGCTTGTAGTAAATTAGAAACTTGGAATAGCCATATCTGTCTCTTTGTATGATTTCAAAGTTCAGTTTAATTTAGGGCTGTTAAGCTTGAACTTATCGGTGGCTTATCGCCTAGAATCTCTGATATTTTTTCTCACAACAAAAAAAGCTTGACAGACGGCTTATCAGCCGGCTTTAATACCAGCCGAACAGGCCCTAAGTTGCTGAAAGGACCTAGGATGCCGCCTAGAGGGGGTGAATAGGCGTTTCTGCAAATTAACACCTTTAAATACGAAAATAATTAGTAAAGAGAGTTTTCAAAATGAAAACTCTAAATTAAGAGTAATACCGTCCCTCACAAGTTAGCCACAGAGTAAACAAGGTATAAAGAATATATCTAGAAGCTACAACCCTACAGCACAAAGTTAGAACAGAGATCAAATAATATTCAAAGATCGAGCTCTAATATCGGGACGTGTCCAGTATATACATTCTGCAGAGCAGCCCTGAACTTACTCCTTTCAATTTCTATCTTCAAACCAAATTGCAGGCACCTACTAGAGATGACAATATACACAGAGAACCTGCACAAGATCTGGAGCAACACAAATATCAAATGAAATGCGAATTGAGACACAATATTTGTTTTACCGAAGTTCGGACTCGTTCGAGTCCTACTCTCCATTGAGGGGGCTGCGGGCGACCCAGCGAAGGTCAGCCCTAGAGGGTACCACGAAGGTCACTCTAGCCGGAGTCTTTTCCAACTCCTTTTTCTCCTTTCAC